CACAAATCTAAATTTCGCAAACAAATTCCAATCAACAACACTTTCACTAAAACAAAACAACTACTCACCACAAATTTATCGTTTATATTGCGCGCAAGCACTGAATACTCCGAGTTCAGGCTCTGCAGTGTCTCCTCCACCCGAATGCGATCCTCTTCTATCTCAAAACGTGCCGTTTCACTCATATCTTTTCCGCACCAAACGCTCGATGTCAACTGAACAGCGCTCACACAGTTCGCAACCTGAAGCAGCAATAACAACAAATCTATAATCAAAATCATCTAAAGTTTCATAATCTCGAACACTTGAATTAAGTAGATAATTAATCAACCACGGATTAAATACTTTAATCAAGGCAAAATCCATCTCACTCATTAATAACTAATGCTAAAACATATCACAACATTCCAATTTTCACGCTCGTTCTCAAAGTTCAAACGTCCAAACACTCAAAATCGGAATCTAACGAATAAAAATTAAAACAATACAAAACACAATTTCATCACAACTCAACAACTAATACAGCCATGAACTGAAATAATAATTGTTCCACTCACTCACCTCTACATCAAATTTGCTATACTCTTGCGCTGCTCTAAAAATCAGATCACATAACGACGCTATCAATGTTCGAATATCCTTCAAATACCAAACATGTAAAATTCTTCCAGATTAATCTTTACAAATCATACTCATTACACTACTTACACAGCACTTGAATATTAAATCAAAAACAATAAACAACTCAAAATTAACCGAAAAACATATACAAATTAAAAACATTCCAAACATTTTCAAAAATCAATTCCCAAACAATTTTCATCCAAATCGAAATATTTTCATTACCATTATCATAAAGACTATCAATGTTATTATTGTTATCATTACTATCACAATACTCACCTGTTATCATCACACAAATACTCTCACTCACCTTACAATCTTCAGTCAGGAAGAGACCCTCTTCCAGACCGGCCAAACACCGCTCATGTGCTCGAATCAATTTATCTAAATCATTTGATTTGTCGTCCAACTCCATATTAAATCTTTGGGTGTACACTTGTACAACCTGCAAAATTTATATTTCATTATTACCATTATTATTATTACTGTCAAGATTATTATCATATTCACCAACGATGTTAAAAACCAAAAAAAAAATCCAAAAAACCAAAAAAGTTGAACAATACCACAACAAATCGAATGAAACTAACATTATAGACAATATGAAATCTTATGACATTCAACATCTGCGTCATACGAGCGAATATTGCGTTGAATAGATGACATAACTGATAAAATTCTGAAGATAAAACGAAAGTCAAAAACACAAAACCTCACAGAAAATAA